GCCCAGAGAAGCTGTGGCTGTTCCATCCCTCGGAGTGTCCAAGGCCAGGTTGGATGAGGCTTGGAGCAACCTGGGCTGGTGGAAGGTGTCCCTGCCCATGGCAGGGGGAGGGACTGGATGGGCTTTGAGGTCGCTTCCCACTCAAACCATTCTGTGGTTCTTTAAAAACCAAACCCAGTTTTTAAATGAACCCCCTGGGACTTGTCTGCTCATCATAAACAAGACACAAGTTGATTGTTTTCGATTTTCCTTGGTACTCCCGGAGTGCAGCTCTCCAGGGGTTTGGTGGGATGGGTGCAGGTGGCCCAGGGAGCACAGGGTGGTCAACTGCACCCTAGGGGTGCTTCAGGGGTGGCTGAGAACAACCCTCCCCTCCTCACTGAGGGGGCTGAGAGCAGACATAACCTTTAAACTTGTGCCAGGGCCATTGCCAGGCTGGAGGACTTCCTAATTATAGGATCATGGAATCATTAAGGCTGAAAAATCCCTCTGAGATCATCTGAGTCCAACCATCCCCCAGCACTGCCAAGCCCACCACTGCCCCATGTCCCCAAGTGCCACATCCACAGGGCTGTTTAACCCCTCCAGGGATGGGCACCAGTGGCCCTCTGCCCCCCTTCAGCCCCCCAAGTGCACAGGGCTGGTGTGGCCCCTCTCTGCAGGCAGAGCTGTGTCACTGGGGTGGAAGAGGGGGGGGTTGGAGCCCCACGGGAGGTGTGAGACTTTCCAGCTGCCAGTAAACCCCGAGGGCAAGCAGAGATGTTTACTGGCCTCTCGATTTGTGCAGAGCTGTAAAACCACTTCCCACGAGTGGGGCTGGCTGGAGGTTGGGGCTGGCTGGAGGTTGGGGAGCTCTGCAGCGTCTCTCTGAAGTGCAGGGCCTGCTGGCCCTGTGATGTGGAGGGTTTGGCCACCCCAGCTGGGTCTGTGCCCTTCAAAGGGGCCATTGTGTGGCTGCCCCTGGGTCAGCATGGGCTGTGCCAGGCACCCACATCCCCTGGGGGAGAGGGGAGGGCTCTGGGATCTCTGGCAGCACTTACCAGTGTGCCAACAGCCCCACAGCCTCTCCTGTATCCCCTCCCAGCCCCTCAGCCTCTCCTGCATCCCTCCACATCTTCCCCATCCCTCCACAATCCCAGAGCCTCTCCTGCATCCCTCTATGGTGCCACAGCTTCCCCACGTGTGCTCCTAAATCCTTCCATAGCCCCACAGCCTACCTTTCATCCCTCCACAGCTTCCCCATCCTTCCAGAGCCCCTCAGCACCCCCATGTGGCTCCTGCATCCCCTGGGGATCGTGCAGGGGATGACACAGGAGGGACTTGGCTTGGTCAGGGGTCACTTCTCCCCAGGCTGTGAGCAGAGGAACAGCGCTGTGACCCCCAGAGCACCTCACCTCTGCCCTGGGTGAAATCAAAATCACCAGCATCTCCCAAATGGAGCACCCCAGAACCCAGAGTGGATTTCAGGGGGACCTGAAGGAGTCCCAGAAGCCTCTGGGTTAATCCCTGTCACCGTTTATACCCCAGGGGATGAAGACACAGCACCCCCACAACGTCCTTCCCTACAGTCTTCCCCTTTGAATAATTCCAGCTTTCCATTTCTCCCCTGCCTGCACCAAAACAAACCCCGCAGCCCAGCCTGGGTGGGGCTAAAGTGGTAAAAAATGGCTCGTTTCCAGGAATAATAAAGGAAGCTTGAGAGGGGTCAGCTCGGAAACGCTTGAGCTGCTGCAGGAACTGCAATAGCAGAGGGCTCTGGGATTTGCCAGAGAAGCGAAAACCAGCGCACAGAAACAGCAAACCGAAACCAGAAAGTGGCTTTGGAGGTCAGTGAGGGCGAATTGCTCAGGGTCATCCCGGCCAGATCAAAGCTGGAGCCCCGGGGCTGGGGCAGGAGGAGCCCTTCCCTTCCAGGAGGCTTCTCAGCCCTCCGGGGGAAACAACATCGCAGTGACAGAGGGCACAAACTGCTTCGTGCCACGACACAGCCAAGGGCTGCAGCTGCAGCAGCTCTTTGCAGCCTCCTCCTCCTCCTGCTGCTCCAGCCCCACCGCATCCAGCAGCCAGGGATGGTTTCTTCCCTCTCTCTGACCATCCCAGGGCTTCCAGGTGGAGGACACGCTGTAGGTCACATACCCCCCTCCCACCCCCGTGCTCCACGAGCATCGTCAGCCCCGTGGTTTGCGCCTTGCAGGGGAGCTGAAGGTGTGAAGTTCCCATGATCGAAGCTGTCCCTGGCTGGTGGCAGCCACAGCCTCTTGTCACCTTGTCACCGGTGGCTGCAGTGAGATGGTGTTTGTCACTTCCCCGAGCACACGCTGACACAAGAGTGGCAAGCAGGGAGGAACAGAAAACTCCCACTGCTGGTTTTCTGCACGATTTATTTCCGTGGCAAGAAGCCATCATTTGGTTTTTGTTCTGTCATTCAGCCAAGAGCCGGAGCCACTTCTTGTTCCACCCAGAGCTGCTCACCCAGGGAACGAAGAGCTGGTCCTGCCAGGGCTTGTTGTGAATCTGGAAAAATCCAACACCTCCCCTGATATCCGTGTCAGGACTTACAGAGCCCTTGTCCCCACTAAAAGCACATATTTGGCCTCTCTAGTGAGGTCTCTGCCCAGCTGAGGGTGAGCCTGCAGCCTTCCACAGGGATGTAAGACCACGAGAGGAAGGAGGAAAGCAAAAGAGATGCTCCTTGTAGGATAAGTGAGGGAAGGAACAGACCATCACCAGCCTCAGGGGCCTTGAATGCTCTCCTTTCAGTCCCTGCTGGGAACAAGCCACTTGGTGAAGGTTGGTGTCTCCACTGATCTCAGGGCAGCCCCAGGGTAGCTGAGCACGGAGTTTGGACTTCTAGGGGTGAAAATCCAGGCTCAGGAGCCCAACCACAGGCCTGAGAATCCTCCCTGCAGTGGAGGGTCTTTGGCTGCACCCCCAGAATGTGGCAGAACATGAGGAAGCCCAGCTCACCCCCTCCCTGCTCCCCAGGCAGGAGCTGCACCAAGCTGGGACTTGAAATTCTCTCCCATGCCAGGGAGGTTCTCCAGCTCTTGCTTCTCACCTCTTCAGCCAGAAATCCATCTTCAGCTCAAGGCATCTTTTGCAGGGAGAGGTTCAGGCTGGCAAAGCATCTCAGGTTTGGCAAACCCCTCCTTCCAGTGAACTCCCTGCTCCCAGGTGAGATCCTGCCCTTTGGGATGCCTGGGACTGTTAAGGGTAAACTGGTGAAGTGTGGGTTGGATAAACAGCAGTGAGAGAGGCTGGGAATGGGCTGGAGGGTTGTGACCTGTGGCATAAAGTCCAGCTGGAGGCCAGGCAGCAGCAGGGAACCCCAGGCATCAATACTGGGTGCTCTTTAATATCTTTATGACCTGACTGATTGGACAAAGTACATCCTTAGAGAGCTGGCAGGGGACACAAAGCTGGGAGGAGGGGCTGGCACACTGCAGGGACATCCTGCCTTCAGAGAATCATGGAATGTTTTGGGTTGAAGGAGATCTTAGAGCCCATCCAGTTCCACTCCCTGCTATGGGCAGGGACACCTTCCACTAGCCCAGGTTGCTCCAATCTGGCCTTGGAGACTTCCAGGGCTGGGGCAGCCACAGCTTCTCTGGGCAACCTGTGCCAGGGCCTGCCCACCCTCACAGGGAACAATTCCTTCCTAATATCCCATCTAACCCTTCTTAATATTTAACCTAAATCTTTCCTTTTTCAGTTTAAAGCTGCTCCCCCTTGTCCTATCCCTGCTGGCTCGTGAAATCCATAGAGACCTCATCAGGCTGCAGAAAGGGGCTGACAAAACCTCATGCAGTTCAGCAGGAGAAGTGCAGAGTCCTGGCCTTGGGGAGGAGCACCCCCAGTACGTGCCAGTGCCAACCAGCTGGAAAGCAAAAGGCCCCAGGGCTCCTGCTGGACACCAGACTGGGCAGCAGCAGCAATGTGCCCTTGCCACCCCAAGTCCAACAGGTTCCTGGGCTGCCTGAGGAGGAGCATTGCCAGCAGACTGAGGGAGGTAACTCTTCCCCTCTGCTCAGAACTGCTGAGGCCCCTTCTGGAGTGCTGGGTCCAGTTCTGGGCTGCCCAGTATGTTGACATACTGGAAAGAGTCCAACAAAAGGCCGTGGAGATGATGAAGGGGCAGGAGCATCTCTCCAAGGAGGAGATGCTGACAGAGCTGGGACAGTTCAGCCTGGAGAAGAGAAGGCTCAGGGGGATCTTACCAATGTGTGTGGGGCCACACTGCTCAGTGGCCACTGACAGGGCAAGAGGCAACAAGAAATTCCATTTAAACACCAGATGAAACTTTATTGATAAACACCAAAACAGGCTGCCCAGAGAGGTTGTGGAGTTCCACCTGGACATGGTCCTGGACAGCCACCGAGCAGGGACTGGGCCAGGTCCAGTGAATTCCAGGATGAATTCCAGGGGTGCCTCCAGCTTCAGCTCCCCACTGGCCCGTGTTACCCAAGCACTGTTGGTCTGGAGGTGGGGGCAGGCAGAGTGTTTTGGGAAGCACAGATCTTTCAATCCAGCCATCCCTGAGCTCCACGGGCAGCGGCTCCGCAGCGTCTGATAAACACCCGCCACATAACGGCACGAGAGCTGCCTCTTGGCTTGGTTGTTTTCCAGAGTTGCATAATCTTATGCAAACAGTGAGCCTTTCCCTATAGAGCCTCACAGGGAAAACCCCTTCCTGCGGCCCAGAGAACCCGTTCTCCTCTTTGTGGCCGGGCCACCTGGCACAGTTTCCTTTTGATTTGACTAACTCCAGAAAACGAGCGCTGAGTCAGAGCTCACATACTTGGCTCCACTGTAACCCATTATTCCCGACTTTTTTTCATTCCTTCTAATTCCCTTCAGCTATTTCACTTTCGTGTCATCCTTTATCATCATCCTGGACTTTCCATTTCGGCTTCTCCAAGCTCCTTTTAAAAGGGAGCAGATTCCAGCTGCTTCAGACGGAGCTGCATCTTCCGGAGCTTCTGGTCCCGCTCTGACATCCCTCACCCCACGGAAAGATGAAGGTCTTTGCAGCTGCTCTGGCTCTTCTCCTCCTTGCAGCCTCCTTCTCCCAAACTTTCTCTGGCCCAGGTGAGTCCTGCTTTTTCGTTTGTGAAGGAAGAACAGATCTGAGCCTCTGCTGTTATTTCGCCTTTGGGCTCCCCAGGCAGATAAATGGGAATTTATCAGCGTTGGTGCCACCCTCTGCTCAGAGATCAGCTGCTTGTAGGAACCCTGGGATTAGAAAATCCATCCATCCATCCATCCATCCATCCATCCATCCATCCATCCATCCATCCATCCACACTCTGAGAAACCTCAGAAGGATTTGGGTTGGAAGGGGCCCTAAAGATCATCCAGTCCCACCCCCTGCCATAGGCAGGGATGCCTTCCACTATCCCAGGCTGCTCCAAGCCCTGTCCAACCTGGTCTTGGACACTCCCAGGGCTGGGGCAGCCACAGCTTCTCTGGGCAACCTGTGCCAGGGCCTGTCCACCCTCACAGGGAAAAATTTCTTCCTTGCATCCAACCTAAACTGACCTCCTTCAGCTTAAAACCATTCCCCCTTCTCCTCCAGCAACAAAAAAGCTTGTCCCCATCTTTCTTACAGACCCATCATCCATTCATCCATCCATTTTTCCATCATCCATCCATCTATCCATCCACCCTGGGCTCAGAGTACTTATTCCTGGTTAGAGCTGAGGGATTTCATCCTCTTCTCCGGGGCTAGGGGAGGTGGGGAAGCGAAGCCCTGAGCACTGACAGGGTGGGAATCTCCCCCAGTACCCGATACCACTCCTGGTGTTGGCCCCTGTGACCCCCAACATCCATTTCATTTGAGTTATTCTCCAATTCCCCTCTCCCTTCCCCACCAGCACAGCTCCCAGTGCTCACACTGTGTCTCTTTTCCAGTTGGAGCTGACCTCCCCATCTGCTGTTTCAAGTTCACCCGTCACGAGCTGCCCCGGGACCGTGTCCTGCGTCACTACAGCACCAGCACCAGCTGCCCCCAGCCTGGCATCGTGTGAGTGACCCTGAGGGGGGCACAGGGCAGGGACAGGACAGGGACAGCCACCCTGGGGATGACCAGCTCTGCAGGGTGGCTGTGGGCACGTGGGGGGTGTCTGAAGAACGGAGCAGGGAGAGGCGAACCCCAAGGGAAAAGGGCTGGCACATGGGATGCTCCTTAAAATCTGGCTTATGTAGATTTTAGTATAATAACTCTTTTAGCACTTTAGCTAAGTACATGTGCATTAGGTTCCCGAAATGGTGTTTATTTCTTGTCAAGAATCCCAGTGGACAAAGGTTGTAGCAAGGCAGAGGACATTTTACCTGTATAAAATATTCTTAGGATAAGACACAACAGGCACATTGCTTGATAGAAGAGAGTCAAAACTGTCCAAGAGAACCCAGAATCCTTGAAAATGGTCCAACAGGACAGAGAGAGTTGATGAAGACTTTCATAGGAGGAAGATATGGGGGTCTTGGGACCAGCAACTCCAATCTGGGAGGTGTGCCTGTGGGGCATGGACAATTTTTGGGCTGGGCGTATCCTCATGAGGGATATTGGTTAGATATTCTAATGAGATGATGCTATAAGTCTGTAAAACCTGTGTGTGTGGGTGTGCACAGGCCATCTTTGTGCACCTAAGACGTCTCATTAAAGAGGGTTTTTTTTAACCTTTCTATACTAACACTGTCCAGAAAATGATTTCTTCAGTTTTAGGCAACAGGGACACCCGGGGATGTTCCCACAGGAGTCGAGGAGGCAGTGTGGGAAACAGGGTGGGAGGGGGGAGAATCACAGCCAGCCACTGCTTCCAGCATCAGCTCGGGGCAGGGCGGGGAACCTCTTGCAACTCCCCAAATGTGGGATCCAGGCTCTCCTGGCAGCAGGTGGCAGCTTGAGGTCTGACACGTCCCACCCTGTTCCACAGGTTCGTCACAACCAGAGGCCGCCAGGTCTGCGCCAATCCCGCTGACAGCTGGGTCAGGAGGTACCTGCAGAGCTTGGAGCAGAACTGAGCCAGGCAAGAGGGCAGGTGGAGCTGCTGTCCTGCACAGATCACCTCATCCCGAGCCCCAGCCACGGAGCAGGGACAGCGGGAGCTGCAGGAGCCCACGGCATCTGCAGGTGTCCCCAAGGGACTGCTGGAAGGACACCCCAGGACACCTCGTGTTGGGGTTGCTGCTGCTCACCCTGAGCTTCATCCTCAACCTCGTCCCTCTGCCCTGACCCTCCACTGGTGGCCTGGGAAGGCCCAGGGGGCTGCACCTTTATTATGTTATTTGAAATGGTATTGTTGGTTGTATTGAAGTTCTAGTACATTATTTATGAAGTTATCGTGTGGGGTAAGCAGTGCTTTTTTTTTTTTTTTTTTCTGTGGGTAATTTATGGGAGGGTGACCTGGAGGATTATTTATAGGATTGTGAGCCAGTGTTGGATGATGAGTGGCCCTGGTTTGCACATGTGAAGTCATGATTCTGGAGAATAAAGAATTTGGACAAAGCCTCTGCTTCTTTCCTTTTCTGTGCCTCTCTGTGGTGTCACAGCATCAGGCAGAATGTCTCCCTGAGCCTCACTGTGACATGTGAAGATGGGAAATGGTTTGAGGCAAACCCATAAAGTTTCCATCCTGCAGACACATGAACATCCTCTGAGACCACATGCACCCCCACTTCCCACATCCCCTCCAGAATTAGATGTGTTTGTACCCACATGTGGGACTTTCATGTGTGTGACTCTGCTCTCCACACACCCCAGGCACGTCCCAAACACTCCCTCGCTGCTCCCAGCCCCACAACATCCCCCCTCAAAGTGGTCCCTGGGTGTGCAGTGGGGTGGTCATGGGACATGCCAGGGGTAAAACCCTGCCAGAGTTTTTGGGGGAAGCAGGGAGAGAGACTCATATGGGGGAAGCAGAGGGGATGGAGCTGCTGCAGTGCCCTGAGGGTATCAGGGAGGCCCATGAACTCCTTGTGCCAGGCAATTCCCTGCCCTGCCCACCATTGCTGCCGGTGAAGCAGCAGTTTCTCAGCACAGGCACCCACCCCTGCACTGTCAGAGGCCTCCAATCTCTCCTCACTGTTCCTCTGGCACATCACCCCATCTCTGCCCACTGCCCTGGCACTGCTGCCTGGAGAGGGGCAGGGAACTCAGCCTTCATTCTGACCCCACTGGGAGTTGTTCCTCACTTTCCCACCTGTAAAACAAAGGGAAGGGGTCAGCTGTGCTGCAGGGGTGAAACAACCAGCAGCAAACCTGCTGGAGCTGTTTTCAAGATGCAGCTTTCCATGGGAAGGTGAATGGGAAGGAGCAAGTCCCAAAGGGGGAAGCTCAGTGCTGGGCACAGCTTGTCCATTGGGATCATTCATGATCCTCAGCTCCTGTACTCTGAGAAAGCCCACAAGGATTTGGGATAGAAGCGACCTTAAAGATCATCTTTTTCCATTCCTACACCTTCCACCAGCCCAGGTTGCTCCAAGCCCTGTCCAACCTGGCCTTGGACACTTCCAGGGATCCAGGGGCAGCCACAGCTTCTCTGAGCAACCTGTGCCAGGGCCTCACCACCCTCTCAGGGAGGAATTTCTCCCTTGCATCCAATCTAAACTGACCTCCTTTAGTTTAAAACCATTCCCTCTTGTCCTCCAGCAACTAAAAAGTTTGTCCCCACCTTTCTTACAGACCCCCTTTAAACACCCCCACAGCTCAGTCCAGAGCTGTCCTTGGCCTTGCCTTCACCCTGTTTTATTTCCTAAGGCAAAAAAATTGCTTTCTCTCAGTGTTGATCTTTTTTCCCCCTGCAGCTCTAAATCAGATTTGGCAGCTCTGAGGCTGGGAAAGCACCTCCACGTTTGTCCTGTGATTTCTCTTCAGTCCTGTGTTTTCCAGGCTTGGAAGCTGCTGCAGGCAGGAGGGATTGTGGACATGCAAGGAGCAGCATCCCCGTGAAGGGCAGCCCAGCCCAGCCCCAGGTTGTGTCCCAGGAGAAGGTTCTGGGCTGGGGACCCCACAGAGAGGTGAAAATCCCCAGGGAGGTGTATCCTGAATGGGACCTCCCAGTGAAACCTGGGAGCAGAGTGGTCCCTGCATGGGGGGGTGGATGGACAGGAGCAAGCAAAGAGTACTGGAAAGGGGGTGCTGGGGGTCTCCTCTACCCCTGAGACCTTCCTGACCCCGAGTTTGATCCTGCAGGAGCCCCAAATAGTCCTGCTAATGGGACCCTGTGTGCTGAGAGGGGATGGAGGATGGATGACTGGGAGACAGGGAATTCTGGGCGTGTCTGGGGTTTATCCCAGGCCCAGGTTGGAGAGGACTCTGTGCTGCAGAGCTGGCTCCTCTCCAGACAGCCCCTGGCCGTGTGCCCAGGCACTCGTGGGAATTTCCCTCTCCAACCTTTCTGGTTTCGGTTTCCAAGTGCTGGACTCAGAGGGCTTTTCCTTCAGTGCTTGCTGTGGCAGAGGCACCAGAAGGTCTGGAGACCCTCATGGTGCCATGGGCAGAGCACTGGGTGGCCTGGTTATCTCTGGTCTGTTTGAGAGCAGGAACCCTGGGGCTCTCCCTTCTCTCCCAGCTTCACTTGGAGAAGCCCTGGGAAGAGAGAGGAGTCGTGGAGACCCTCAGACCCAACATCTGCATTGTCTCCCTGTTGGTCCCTGCTCCCAGATCCACCAGGAACATCCTGACACAGCCTCTCCCTGCCACTCTTGGGTAGCTGATGGTTTGGACTTGGCCTCAGCCTGTCTGATTTCTGCCTTTCTAACCTGCACTGGTCACGGTCCAGCAGCTCTGCCTCCCTCAGCAATCCTTTCTCCTAACCCCTCCCATTTGAGTGTCCCAACACTGAGGCTTCCCTGTGGGAGTTGGGGGCTGGGTGGAGCAGTGCTGAGCACAAACATGGGCTGTGTGGCTGCCGAGCTCCTGATGGGAACTTCTCTCTGCCCCAGTCTTGTTTCTCTCCCTTGGGCTGCCCTCCCATCCCAGTCCTGCTCTGCTCCTGGGGAACCCACCTGGAATCACAGAACCATTTAGGCTGGGAAAGACCTCTAGGATACTTGAGTCCAACCATTCCCCCAGCTCTGCCAAGGCCACCACTGACCCATGTCCCCAAGTGCCACGTCCACATGTCTGTTAAACCCCTCCAGGGATGGGGACTCCACCACTGCCCTGGCCTGACATCCCTTTTTGTGCAGAGCCTCTGTCTTTGGGTTGTTTTTTTTTCTCTCCTGGAGGAAGAAAGGCTCATGATGGACCTGGAATGCCTGAGGAACAGGCTGATTCACATCCCCTTGGCAGAAGTTTTGCAGGAAGCACGTGAAGGACTGTTTGTACCCCCAGCAGGTGCAGCAGCTCTGTGGGGACGGGATCCTGCACGGGCAGGCTCTGCCCCAGAAATCCTCCCCTGTCTTGGCACCAAGAGTGGGGCTGGCTGGGGTGTTGTCTGGGATTGGCCATGGCTCTGTCCTGGCGAGGAGAGATGATTTCCAGTGGTGAGGAGGTGGCTGAGAAGGACCTTCCCACACCGATGATGGGATGAGCCCTGTGGAGGGAGGATGAGAGGGTGTCCCCAGTGTCCTTTGGGGTGCAGGACCCCAGCACGGGTGAGGAAGAGCTCCCAGCTGAGCTCAGTGTGCAGCAGAGCAGCACCCAGACAGTGCCTGCCCAGGGGCCACCAACCACAGGCTCCACAGTGGCCACCGGGGTCTGTGGTCTGTGGCCCTTCTCCTCCCCACTGGAGCCACCAGTGAGTTGAGGCAGAGCCTGGTCTGACCAGGGACCTTCCCTGGTGTCCCAGCACCTCCCCTGGGCTGGCTGTCCCTGCCCCAGACAGAGATCACACAGAGGACATTCCCCAGCCCTGCTGCATTCCTTCCCCACCACAAGTTTTCCCGATGATGTTTCTCCACCCCCAGGAGAACCACCAGGTCTGCCCTGCCCCTGGCTCTGTCTGGGTGAAAGAATCTGTGAATTTTTTGGGGATGTGCTGCCATTGCCACCCCTGCCTGGTCCCCCAGTGCTCTGGGAGCTCAGGGCTGGCTCAGGTTCTTCCAAAGGAACTATTTTGGTGTCATGGGCTGATTTCCTCTTGTTTGTGTCCCTCATGGGGGGTGCTGGCTCCCTCAACCCCCCTCACCCAGCCTGACCTCGTGCCTCAGTTTCCCCCCTGTGATTGAGGGGTAGCTGTGCTTAAAAGCTCTCTGTGAAGTGCTCGAATAGCCATGGTATGAAAACAAACCAACACCAGCACTGGTTGATTGTTTCCATGCTCAGGGAGACCTGGCTGATCCCTGCCCTGCTTCCCTGCACAGCAGCACTGCCAGGCTGTGTCCCAGGGTCCCCTCTGCCACAAAGCTGCTTTGCAGGGATGTAAAATAAAAGCTGGACCTTCTCCCCTCCCTCTGAGCTCCCTGCCCACCCTGCAGGCCTTGGGTCCTGCCAGAAATAGAGACTTCGAGGCTCTTAAAAAGGAACTTCAACAGGAAATGCTGTTTAATTAACAGGAGAGCTGGTGATGAGCAAGGAGAGATCAGGAGACAACCTGAATATCTGCAAATCACTATGGCACCAACAGGGCTTGGGGTTGTTTGATGGACATTATATCTCCCACTCATTTGTTTGGCCCTAATTATGGGGGGGTCATTTATTGGTGGCAACGAGGATTGGCTGAGGAATTGCTCTGGGGTTTGATGGAGCGGGAAAGGGTGGAAAATGTCCTGGGAGGTGAAGACTTGACCTGCACAAGCTGCCAGGTGGGACACTCTTGGCCAAGGGGTGATAGAAAAGCTTCTGGGCTTTTGCTTCAGCCAACTCTGATGGAGACAACCCCAAACAGTGGCCGTGGCCCTGCAGAGCCCCAGCACATGGAGAGGGGAGCGGCAGTTTCGGTCTCTACCCACAAAGTTATCAGCCAGCTTTAAATGGCAACCACAGGCTGATAAAGTGCTTTTGCTGGTTTTCCTTGATGCAAAACGTGTCTTGTTGGTTTTTTTTAAACCAAATTCAGGCTTCCTACCCCCAAGAAGCTGCAGAACTAAAGGGAATTGGTGCCTGTCTTGAAATGAAACACTAATGGAGCATCATCCCCGGAGCTGAGCCTGGCTCGGGCTGCATTCCCAGAGGAGCCTGTGCTGGGGGTGTGGTCCCGGCTGGAAAGCAATGGGAAAGCCCCACCAGCTCCCAGCCTCAGCTCCAATATGATGGAAAGGAAAGGGGAAGGGCCTGGGGAAGTTCTGTCTGCACATCAGAGCAGGGGCTGGGAAGGGGCAGTGCTGGGAGGTGCTGGGATGGTGCTG